CAAAGTACGTGTTTATCCCCCTGTGTATCTGACGGCTGACGGCCATAATAAAAATATAACTAATTCTTAATTTATCATTGTTATTTGTTATATTTTTTATCGAGGGGGGTAGTGGGGCTTTGCACAGCAGAACGCACGACTTTCGGTGCAGAGCTGGATGATGTGTTGTCTGCAGACGATTCAATAAAATAAACTTCGTCGCCTAGCGCAGAACTAGCTGGTGGCTATGGCAATGTGTCCGTACATATCACAAGCGGCTGAAAATTAGATATGCGTCCAAACACTTCATTCAATAGTTCAAAATGTGGACAAATTTTCGTAAATTAATGGTCATATCGTTTTAAATCATTGAACGAAACGCATGTATATAGCATAGCCATATTTAACATATCTCGAAATTTTACTAACCGTCAATTCAAATTTAAAAATGAGAAGTAACAAATGTCAAAACAGCTGATTTCTGCCATTACTGTTTTGTTGCAAGCAAATATACATAGGTTTTATTATTGGAAGATTGCACGCAATTGCACGAAATTTTGTGCGTGTATTTAGTTGTTGTTTGCATTCTCATACAATCTGTGCGTTTCGGGCACCTTGCAATGAGTTTGCAAGAGAGAGTGAATACCCCTTACTGGTTAATGTGAAATGAGCAGTATTAAATTATTTTTTTTATTGCAATCTGTCAAGTGTTCCGCATTGGTAAGTAGCAAATGTTGCATATAAGCATATAATGCAAGCAAAATATATAATCACTATAATTAGTACTGAAAATTAAAATAAATAATGAATTAAGAGCAATGTTAAGAGTACAGGAGATTTTAAAATTACCATTTACAACAAAATTGATAATAATTTGAAATATTTATGCAACTAATAAAGATGCGTTCTTTTGACGTGAATGCTCCACTAGAACAACTATTGGTTGCTTACGAATAATTTGGCATCACTGCCTAAATCAGTATACATATAGGTTAAATTATACCGGCGATACACTTGGGCCCATTGTGCTACCGTATTATTAGGAAACCAAGGGTTAAAACCATCTTCCGCCAACTACTGCTTCAAACACCTTTTTCGCCGGAGCATCTTCATCCATTCTCACGACATGACCAAGCCAGCGAAGCCGCTGGATGTTAATGCGCTGAATTATATCAATGTCGTGATAAAGCTCGTACAGCTCCTGGTTCATTCTAATGCGGTAGTCGTCGCCAACTCGTAGAGGACCAAAGATCTTACGAAGAACTTTTCTCTCGAACATTCCCAGTGCTGCTTCATAATTCTGTGATAACGTCCATGCTTCTGCGCTATACAGAAGCACAGGGAGGATGAGCGACCTATAGAGCGTAAGTTTCGTTTGTCGAGAGAGAGCTCTACACCCCAATTGCCTACTGAGCCCTTAGTAGCACCTATTAGCAATGGTGATTCCTCGTTTTATCTCCAGCTGACATCATTGTTGTTCGTTACGGCGGTGCCAAGATAGATGAAATCCTTGACAGATTCGAAAGTATAGTCGCCAGCCACTAGCCCGATGTCCGAGCGACGCACATTTTTACTAGCAACCGACATATACTTCGTTTTTCCCTCATTCACCGCTAAACCCATTCTTGTAGATTCCTTTTCGATAGGAATAACATCACGCTTGCTACGCCCAATGATGTCAATGTCGTCGGCGTAAGCAAGGAGCTGGACATATTTGTAGAGTATTTTTCCATTACGATGAACACCTGCCCTGCGCATGATCACTTCCATGACGAAATTGAAGAGCTCACATGATAAGGGATCTCCTTGTTTGAAGCCTCGAACGGTATCAAAAGGTTCAGAGAGACTCGATCCTACCTTGATGGAGCTACGGGTATTACTCAGCATTATTCTGCAAAGTCGAATTAATTTTGCAGGGATGCCGAGCTCAGACTTTGCGACGTAAATGCGATCCCTAATGGGGCTATCGAAAGCTGCTTTATAATCGACAAAAAGGTGATGAGTGTCGATGTTATGTTCGTGGGCTTTTTCCACGATTTGTCGCAGTGTGAATATCTGATCAATGGTGGAGCGACCAGGTCGAAAGCCGCACTGATAAGGTCCAATCAGTGAGTTGGCATGTGGCTTCAACCTTTCACACAGTACAGTTGAAAGAACCTTGTACGCGACAGGTATTAGGCTAATCCCGCGATAGTTGGCGCAAATCGTCGGTTCACCTTTTTTTTTCAAGAGGTTATTACTGAAAATAAAATCAAAAAGTTACTCACCACATTCATTTGTACGTGAGGTGCCCCACCTTTTATGATGAGTATTTGCGTCGCAGTCGAAACTATTTCCACACCAAGTCTTCCAGCGCCGTTAGTTAGCTGTTTCAGGTTACTTGATGGTATATCATCATGATCGTGAGTCATATATGCAAATACTGCCTATATTTGGGTCCAGGGTCCTTCAATACTTACTGTCTTTGTTATATTTTTTATATATTAGTATATTAAATTAAAATTGTTTGACCTGAGTCCGCAAACAAGATCCCTCTAAAGTTATGGCTCTTGAACCATTGATGAGGCATTCCAGCAAAGTGGTGGACACAGCCTTGCAGTGATGCAGATTAATCTGTAGTACCCGCATCATGGCTCATTGTGGATGTGGTTATGTTTACCATCGTTACATTGAGTGCCCTATCCTCCTCAGATTCATTAGCTGAAGTGTCCAAAGATGCTTTGTCAATCACAAAACTGACTGACCTATATTTGCCGTTGGCTTCCTCTAGCTTTCTTCTAACTTCCACGTTGATGTTGTTAGCTGACCATTTCCTAACTGAATAAGTTCCAGAATTCTCTGAGGATC